AATAGACCCGGTTAGACAGATTCCTGACTAATCGGTAACTTTTTAACTTTCGGCAGATTTTGACGAATCCGGCAATTTATGTTTTGCCGGAATCGACGAAACTCGTTGCACCGTTTTGGAAGAGGTGTAGACAAAAAATCGCATTGCCGAAAACCTGAGAATAAATCGAAAATGGCGCCAAGAATCTATCTATTCTTAGGATTTCGTTAAATTTTCGACGGACCATGAGCGAGGCAGTTTAGAGGAAACTTCCTGGAAACTTCCTCTCGGGCTGCGTGGCCCGGATGGCTGTTTGCTGGCAGTTTCACTTGCCCACTTGTGCGATTTTGAGCAAACTGCCACACCGAATTCTGCTCATAAAAGACCACGTATTTCTGCATAATACAGAGCTGCTATACAGCTACTCTGTTGTGAAAGTGTGCGAGGGCACAAACACTCACAAAACAAATGTCCTGCAAGGTAAGTCTTCAAATCTGTTTCAAAGTTTGTGTCCACAGGAAGCAGATCTCAACAGGAAAGGTAATTCTTCAGATCTTTCTGAACGTTTGTGTCCATAAGGAGATCTCAGCAGTATAAAGGTAATTTTTCAGATCTTTCTGAAAGTTTGTGTCCATGAAGCAGATCTCACAACGGTAAAGGTAATTCTTCAAATCTTTCTGAAAGTTTGTGTCCATGAAGCAGATCCCAACAGTATAGCGGTCAATACTTCAGATCTTCTTGGAAAAGCCCAAAAAAAAAGGCTTGTGAGCCAAAATACACCTGGATCTTAGCTTTCGTTTATGTAGTTATATATATATATCATATTTATATTTATATATATATATATGCATAGATCTATAATATGCATAGTCAAACAAAGTAGTGTTTAGGGTTTAGGGTTTAGGGTTTAGGGTTTAGGGTTTAGGGTTTAGGGTTTGCGGCTTAGGGTTTAGGGTTTAGGGTTTAGGGCTTAGGGTTTAGGGTCTCTCCAGGAGGTGTCTCTCACGGTGTTTTTCTCTCCAAGGTATCTCACTCACAGGTGTCCCTCCTGGTACACAGTCACTCCTGGTGGTCACTCCTGTGGCTCATCGAAGTTGTGACCTGGGCGAAAGGCAGAGTTTGGAAGTTCTCAAAAAAGGGTGGTTGTTGGGCTACGGCTCAAAGGCTTTCTGAGACAGATTCTTTCTCACTGCCTGTGCGACTTGAAAAGCAGGTGGAGGGCAAGCCTGTACCGACGGGCGATCTTGATGGACGCTTTTGATGGTCCAAGTCCCTGCATGGGCCAAGGTTTGAGCTCGTCGCTGTTGATCCTCCCCGGCGAATGCCCACAGCATCCGGGGGTTGATTGTAGCTGAAAATTTCGCCGTGTGTTGCAAGAAGTGGTGCTTTTCAGTGGTAGTAAAGAGCCGTATATCGTTGTCGTCGTCTTCAAAGTGCGCCTTGAGCTCTGAGACGAGCAATAAAAAAGCTGACATTGCTTCCTCAAATTGCTGTGCTGCCTGTGGTGGCAGAGCGACAAAGCCCTTGAAGTCGATGAGCAAGCCCTCCAACAAGGCATTCAGCTTCAAAGCCAAGTGTATCTTCCGATGCACCTGGACACCAGGCACCATGTGTGCCTCCCATACCCTGAGCAGTGGCAAATGAAGAAATCTGATTTCCGAGGCTTTGCCTTTGAGCTTCAAAGTGTTGTTCCTTCGCAGGAACATGCGAACGGTATTCAAGTACCTGTATCTGCAGGGAATCTCCTCCGACCGATATACTTCTTGAATTTCTTTCCACACCTGGAGCATGTTCTGGTGTTCATCCGAGTGGAGCAGGTGGTGTGTCAATAAGTACAGTATACTTGCATAAAAGAACTGATCCCCCCCCAGATATTTATTGTGCATGTAATCTGGGGCTATGTTCAAAGCCGAGAACCAATCCAGACGGAAGAGCTCGCAGGGCGACTTCCCAGCCCAGTTTTTCCAAGCTTGTGCCGACCACATTGTCTGAATCCAAGGGGCATCTCTTCTAAAATTTTGCCAGCTCTGAGCCCCCCATTTCTGACACCTGCATAACCAGCAAGGCCCCGAGGCCAGGGAGGATCTCGGGAGCCCCATCGTACCAGCATAGAAGTCGAGGTCGCCGAGTAAAGCGAAAAACACTGCACTGTATGGCCCAGCCAGTCGCTGCCCCGCTTTCTTGCCAGCTTGAGAATTGGCAGGGAACCTTCCAAACCACCACACGAAACAAAATAAAACGGAAAGAACCATAGTAAACCCTGTCAAAGAAAGCCTTCTAGACATGGTACACCACGACAAAAACTCTCTAGGCAACATGGAAGCTCACAGACAAGCAGCAATTCTCCCAGATGGTTCCTGCTCGGCCATACCCCCTCAAAGAGGGCTTGGAAAGACCAGCGAAGAATTGCAAAGGCACGGGTCAGTGTGGAGTTGGCTTCATGCTCCAAATATTTCAACTTCTCGAATAAGCCCCATATGTAGAATAGAAGCTCGCCGGTGTTTCCTTGGCCCACCAAACTGAAAAAGCTGAAGTTTGTAAACCCTTGCTGCCAGACCTTGCCTCGTCCCGTTAATGGGACTCCATCTCCGTGGAGTCCCAACGGGACGAGTGTCCGCTTGTAACCCGGTTTGCTTCGGATATGATGTGTCAAGCTCGGGTGCCCATCAACTGCAGACCAAAAGTTTTCCAGGTTGTCCATGTCGTTGTCGGGAAGAATACTCCTGGACCAGGTATCGGGATAAAAATTATAGATCGCAGAGAAAAGCTCGTGCGGTAAGATCATGCCCTGCAATACATCATCGGCATGGCCCTTCAAGGGAACCTTGAGAAGGTGTGCCTCCGGCAACTGGTTATCTTGTCCATGTTTCCTCAGGATGTCCGAAAAACATTTGCTCGGATGAGCACCATGGTTTCCAACAGCTGCTAGTCGACTCAGCTCGTCCAAGGGCTGTGTTGAATTGGCAGACATCTCTATGTCCTGCTTGGCCAACGAGGCCATGGTTTGCACTTCTTGAGGTGATAAAAAACCCCAAGCCATTCTTTGCAGCAAATAGGCTGCAAGCACACTCTGCATCGGTATTGGAGCATCTTCTGCTGCTGCTCGCTGCAGCCTTTGTTTCAGCCCGCCAGGCCGTTTTCGCTTCATGACTCGGCCTTTCTATGTGCTTTGGCTTTGTGGAATCCGTGCCTAGGGTTTAAATCAAGACATGCATGTGGGGTCGGACATAAAGTGAACTTATCTATTATACATAGTCTCCAGGCTTCATGAAAGACTCATTCCCTCATATATAACAATACCATTCGTACGACCTTGAACCCTACACACCCTAAACCCTCTTAAACCCTAAACCTTGCACTGTCGTCAATTTTGAATACAACAGGCTGGAAGCCTGCAGAGCAGCACACGGCACCGACAGAATGCGGGTTTAGGATTTAGGGTTTAGTTTTAGGGTTTAGGGTTTAGTTAAGGTTTAGGGGTTTAGGGTTGAGGGTTTAGGGTTTAGGGACACTGACGATAGTATACGATAGGATACTATAGTATACTACAGTACACTATAGTATATACCATAATGAGCTATAGTATCTATGTTGTGTACGACAGTAGACTATATAAGGTAATCTATTCTGTGGTATAGTATATTTTAATACACTTGACAGTATATTCTATATTCTGTACCCTTGTATGCCTTTGATGTATTGCAGCTTACTATATAGGATATAAAACATCATACCAAAATACACACAATATAATATATTAATGGATAGACTGGACCTAGAGAGAGTGCACACCTGGACAGTTATTGGTGGACCTGGAGAGATATTGGACCTGGAGAGAGTGGCGACCTCGAGAGCGGGAGAGAGAGTGGAGACCGGGAGAGTGCACCTTCCGAGAGAGTGGACCTGGAGAGAGTGTGTCGCGACCTTGTGGACAGAAAAGACCGGGAGAGATTGGTTTAGGGTTTTGGGTTTCGGGTTTTGGGTTTCGGGTTTCGGGTGCAGACCTGCAATGAGTGTTCGGCGGGGCTCACAAAGCAAGGCCAAACGACTTTAACCCCCGAAAACCCCCCATAACATCCTTTACCCCCTTGTTATAACCCCTTGACAACCCCTTTTTGACACCCTGAACCCTTGAACACCCTGGACCCCATACAACCCCCTTTTATAACACCTTTATCAACCCTAAAGCCCCACACCCCGGACTCCAAACTCTCAAGCCGTCTATACCTGTATACATATATCCCTGTATACATCCTTATATAAACCTTATAAACCACAAACCCCCAAACCCTAAACCCTAAACTCTAAAGCCCTACATCCCTAAACATCCTTATTGTGAACTTTCTAAACCCTGGAGCCCTACCTACAACACCAAAGCCCTCTGAACCTTGATCCAAATATGCACTTACAAAAATATAGAAACCCAACAAAAACCTGGACGGGACCCACAACTGGAAAATCTCAGAGCTTGGCACATGCTCTTGGTCGATGTCCTTGTGACCTGGCGGGAGATATGTGGTGTCCAATATGACATACTATAATGTGCTGAATATGATGTATTATAGAACACTATAGCACTAACCCTACATTGCAGCCGAGACGATCGTATAGTACATAATATATAGCATAGTATACCCTAAACCGCACCAGTACAACTTCAAAGGCCCGTTGTTGGGTAATGAGGTGTACGGATTCAAGGTTTTATAGAGTCAAAAGAGTTATTCGGGCTCTAGGGCTGTATAGGGTTTTAGAATTGTGTTATAAGGGCTCTAGGGCTGTAGGGTTTTAGAGTCATATAAAGGTTATGGGGGTTCTAGGGCGAGTTATAACAGTTATAAGGGTTCTAGGGCTGTAGGGTTGTAAAGTTTTCAAAGTTATAAGGGTTCTAGGGCGAGTTATACAAGTTATAAGGGTTCTGGGGCTGTAGGGTCCTTTTATAATTATAAAAGTTATAAGGGCTCTAGGGCTGTAGGGGTTTAGAGTCATATAAAAGTTATAAGGGTTCTAGGGCTGTAAGTAAAAGTTACAAGGGTTCTAGGGCTGTAGGGTTGTAGAGTTTTCAAAGTTATAAGGGTTCCAGGGCGAGTTATACGAGTTGTAAGGGTTCTGGGGCTGTAGGGTTTTAGAATTATAAAAGTTATGAGGGTTTTAGAGCGAGTTATAAAAGTTATAAGGGTTCATGGGCTGTAGGGTTTTAGAGGTAGAAGTTATAAGGGTTCTAGGGTGAGTTATAAATGTTGTAAGGGTTCTAGGGCTGTGGGGTTTTAGAGTTATACAAGTTATAGGCTTTAGGGCTAAGGCTAACCCTAAAGGTTATTATAACGGTTGACTATAGGAGCCCTTATAAATGGAACAGGGTTTGCGGCGAAGTTATGGCATGAGTACCCAATTGGGTATAGCCAATTTATTGCACAACACTCGAAAAACCTTTCCTTGTCATCCTTCCACAGCCAGCTCCAGGCACGTGTGTTTGGCACAGCGACCACACAAAAGTGAAGAAAGCTGCACAAGCCTGATATGCACGATCTGCAGGACTGTGGCATTTGCACGAAAGCTTCGGGCTTCTAGAGTTTAAAACCTTTCACACAGGCTTGTCACAGGTGTCAAAATGTCGCTCCAAGTGCCCCGCTCACACACAAGAATCACTTGCTCCTGGCCCGGATTTCAGCCTTGGCAGCCTCGACCTTATGATTGACCGATTGCACGTGGACGGCCACTTCCATGAAGAGCTTGTCCAAGCCCTCCTTCGTCGGCTCCACTCCATCCGGCATGAGGTTCAGATCGCGAAGCTGGGCCAGGGTGTTGGCATAGGCAGTGCATTTTGCATGCCCAACCTTCAGGCTCGTCGCCATGTCGCCCGGGAGCTCCACCTTCGCTTTGATCATGCCAGCACTCTCCTTCGTCAGCTTGTCAACCGACCCAATCGCCTGCTCGAGAAGCTTCTTGGCGGCATCGCTGAGAACGGAGTTCTGCACCATGTTCTCGGCAGCCATTTTTGGCATCTTCCATCCCACACCTCAGGAATGCAATATAGGCTACTCACAATCTGCTTGAACATGAAAAAACCCTTCTTATCCACGAACAATTCCAAAATCCGTCAATGAACAAAGATGTCGTGCACACAAAGGACACAAAACTGAGGGAAACCACGAGAAGGACAACTTATTTGGAGTGCAGTGTTCAGGGGTTTTGGGACATGAGGTGTACGGATTCAAGGCTTTAGAGTCAAAAGAGTTATCAGGGTTCTAGGGCTGTAGGGTGTTAGAATTATACACAAGTTATAAGGGCTCTAGGGCTGTAGGGTTTTAGAGGTACAAAAGTTATAAGGGTTCTAGGGCTGTAGGGTTTCAGAGCTATATAAAAGTCATAGGGATTCCAGGGCGAGTTGTAAAAGTTATAAGGGTTCTAGGGCTGTAGGGTTTTAGGGTTATACAAGTTTTGAGGGTTCCAGGGCGAGTTATAAATGTTGTAAGGGTTCTAGGGCTGTAGGGTTTTAGGGTTATACAAGTTATATAAGGGTTCTAGGGCGAGTTATAAAAGTTATAAGGGTTCTAGGGCTCTAGGGTATTATAGAGTTATAAAAGTTCTAAGGGTTCTAGGGCAATATATAGGGCTTTAGACTGATAAAAAGTTTGGGGAGCTAGGCTATTTTGGGGGCACAAACTGGACACACCCTTAAACACTAGTCCAAAACCCAACAACCCCAAAACCCTAGGTATATATATATATATATAGACATTATAAGCCCCCAACCCTAAAGACAGATCCCGTATAAACCTTGAACCCTAAAACCCCACAAGAAACCCAAAGCCTCTCAACCCTCAACCTTGAACCCTAAACCCTAACCAAAAAAGCGCCGAACCCTAGACCCTATAAGCCCAAAAACCCTTTAGACCAAGTCACTGTGGAATGCCTCGAGCAGCTCGCTTGCAATCTGACCCGACACACCCTTCGAAGACTGCAGACGATGATCCATTTGTTTGCCCTCCTCGGTGGCGACTCGGAACTTCGTGAAGGCGTAGAATTTGCCGGCCTTACCAGCCCCCTTCTTCTTGTTCTCCGTCTCGTAAATGTCCCCTTCACGGAGTGCCTCGTCGAAAGCATTCTGGTCGCCCCGGAAGAAGAGGTTCTTCATGATGCTGGCTGGGTAAGCATCATCCATGGTGGTGCTGTAATTCTTTTCGTACATCGTCGATGCCTCTTGGAAAAGAGGATCCTGAAGATTTAGCTTCAAGGATCCGTCGCTTTGGCGGAGGTACAACCTGTTTATCGCCTGGCTTTTGAAGCTGCGAGCATTGCCGGACTTCTTGCTTTCCTCTTCGATGAGCACCTTGACAAAGTCAGGGAGGTTCTCCTTGTCTTTCTGGTATTTTTGAGCTTTCCCTTTGTCACGGGATTCGGGCTCATCGATGCCCCTCTTCAGGGCATCTATCGTCATGTTCAACGTCGGGGTCGGCTCGGCTGTTGTGCTCGTCGTCGAAGCTGCTGGCTTCTTCGCGATCTGCTTGCCCTTTGCAGACTTCGCTTTTGCCTTCGGTGCAGACTTCGCTGTTGCCTTCGGTGCAGACTTTGCTGTTGCCTTCGGTGAAGACTTCGCTGTTGCCTTCGGTGAAGACTTCGCTTTTGCCTTGGCTGCTGCCTTGTTTACAGGCAGCCCGAGGAAAGACTTGCCTCTGGTCAAACCCATCTTCGGCTGGCACA